TTTTTTTTTTAATTTCAAGACCACCTATTAATAAGAAACCTTTCCGGGCATTTTGAATCCAAATCGTTTGAAAAAATTCGTAATGCCATCTGAAAACATGTACAATAAAGCCTTTTTGTTTCTGACACTATATCTTATATCGATTTTTCCTTGAAAATTCCCAAAAATCACCTTTTTTCTCAACCTCTAGAGTGTCCCTTAAATTACATAATTTAGTTGTTTGTCAAATTTCTTATTTACACAATTTTACTTTAAAGCATATTTAATCCGTTTTAAATATAGATAATCCCTATTCAGTAGACAAAACCGCTTCCTAAATTTCATAATCTATATAAAATCATGTCATTTTATCATTCTGTATGATATATATCTGCTTTTTTATCCTCATCATTTAGAAAAACCATAAAGAAAAAAACAATATTTAGGGAGTTATAAATAAAATAAAGCTTCGAAACCTTTATTTTTATTTTTAACTAAAAGTTTCTACAGATAAATGACAACACTACCCTCTCCTCGTAGTAGCTGATGTTGTTGCACAAGGTCTATATCTTCCAAGGGGGTGCCATCTTTCGTGGTTGTATATGATTCCGTTATAGTTTCCTTCTTTGCTAGAAGACATATCAGGAAATTTTAAAAATTCATGGGAAAATAAAAAAACTTACCTTCTCGACGATGTACCACGATTCTTTGAATACGAGGATTAAAACCATCAGCATTGCCCGATACTTGTCTGAAAAAAATTATTATTATGTAAAAGCTTCATACGAATCACTGAAAAAAATGAACTTACTGAAACCATATGCCATTAGTTCCAGAATCGTATATAAGTCTAAAGTAGAAATAATATAATTTTGTACGATATTGCAAACTGGTAAAGTCGTCAAAATATAGCAAACCCTCTGCGTTTTCATCCTGAAATTAATAATTACATTACTATTAAGACATAAATGTTTTGCAAGACATTTATTTTTCCTCATATCTTAAAAATAATAATAATAATAATAATAATAATAATAATAATAATAATGCCCAACAGAACAAATGTT